GCTTTCCTTTTTAAGCTAGCCATTTTACCTGATTTGATGCTAAACTACAACACGAGTATGAGAGCTATGCAGACTAACCCACTGTCACGTCGTTTAAAGGGGTGGCGCATCTCACCCCATTGAATCAGGTGGTGACAGTACCACCCACAATCGTTCTAGGAAGCGGACTGACCCTAGGACTGAACACGTAGTATTTTCTTTGATAAATAAAATTTATTATTTATTTTTGTAAATTTAAGAATGCTTCAAATATGACGTTAAAACAGAGTTTTATGTCGTTACAAGTGGGTTTTTTAACATTATCTAGTATAGTAAAATCGTGGGACTGATAAAAATTTGACGTTATATTAGGGTTGTCGTTACATCTGATGTCGTTATAATCGGGTTAAACTGTATATGTACACACACACACACAGGTATCCCTTGTTAGAATCCAATTAAGAATTTTTCCTACTCTTTTTCTCAGATACTAAGTGGTTATAGTAATTTTAATTGCTATCTAGCAGCATGTAATTTGGCCAGCAGTATCTTTTGCTCGTGCGTAACGGGTAAAGCTGAAACTGTAAAACACATAATTTATGAATGTCATATCTGTGAAGTTGAATGCTGCAGGCTAATGCTGGAAGTTCTGTCCTTGGGGTATGTTGGCCCTGTCCAACCCATATTTTAGTGTCAAAAGAACTGTGTGCCTATTTTGCTATTTTTATTAAGGACATTTTTAAGNTAAAACAGGGTTTTATGTCGTTACAAGTGGGTTTTTTAACATTATCTAGTATAGTAAAATCGTGGGACCGATAAAAATTTGATGTTATATTAGGGTTGTCGTTACATCCGATGTCGTTATAATCGGGTTAAACTGTATATGTACACACACACACACACACACACACACAGGTATCCCTTGTTAGAATCCAATTAAGAATTTTTCCTATTCTTTTTCTCAGATACTAAGTGGTCATAGTAATTTTAATTGCTATCTAGCAGCATGTAATTTGGCCAGCAGTATCTTTTGCTCGTGCGTAATGGGTAAAGCTGAAACTGTAAAACACATAATTTATGAATGTCATATCTGTGAAGTTGAATGCAGCAGGCTAATGCTGGAAGTTCTGTCCTTGGGGTATGTTGGCCCTGTCCAACCCATATTTTAGTGTCAAAAGAACTGTGTGCCTATTTTGCTATTTTTATTAAGGACATTTTTAAGAAAAAATGATTAATTGCTTATTCAAATTCTGGTGTTAGCTAACCATGGTTGTTATTGTATGTGCATTGTTAATTTTATTACCTGTCTCTTGTCGTTTTATGTATGTAATCATTGATTTTTGTGTAATACTCACTTCAGAGTAGTGCACTCAAATAAATAAATAAAAAGGTATTTCTTGTACAACTTCTTGTTCACTCAAATAAATAAAAAGGTATTTCTTGTACAACACAGTACTTCTACAACACGGTTATGCTCTAATGTGGTTTGAAAATTGGGGATATCACAACATGACTTCTGGTTTCACTCTGACATGGTTTTGGAAATTCTCTATACAAAATTTCACAATTCTAAAGTGTAAATTTTATTACTCAATGTTTTTTTTTTTTATTCAAATAAGCATGTGTATTGTCTTAAATTTGCCAATGGATTTTAAAATATTGAAATTTTCAAATTATTTTGTGCTTTTTGTCAGGTTTACTTTAATGAAAACTAATACTTACCTAAAAATGTTTAAATAAACTTTACTAAATATGAAGATTAATTTATAAAAAGAAAACAGTGACAGTCTTAAGGGCTAAAGTCTGAAAGTAATGACGACGACACGTGGTTGATAGGAATGTGTGAGATCTGAATAGCCCCTGGATCTAAATAATAATTTAAAAATATGGTTTAAATGTTGTAGAAAAATATTCTTTTGTTTGGTGAGAAAATAATGATTTTCTAGCGTGGGAAAGCAGATAAAGGAGTCACTTCCTTTGATGGAAGTATGAGCATCTTCTGTTTTTCCCTTATCTGTTAAAAATCTCGCCACAATGGGAACTGATGACTTCTCATTTCTTCCCCTTTTCATCTGTTCACATGGGGAAAGAACAGTATGATGATTGCTTGCTAATGGAGAGATATAGTCAGAATTTGGCAGAATTCGGGGAGTTCGTCCGTAGATCTGAGAGTGAAAGCATTCCACACATTTGTTCTCTAAGGCCACCGCCCTTAGGAGTTTGTCAACAGATCCCAGATGAGGAAGACGAAATCCATACAAGCTTCATAAGGCCAATGCCCATAGTCGTATCCTATCGAGTGGATAAGGAGTTAGAAACATAGAAGATTATTTTAATATCGAGAATATCCATGCATCTCCATGATTAGGAGTATGAGAACATTATAACTGAAGGTATATTCGACTAATACAAATACAGAAAAGTCAACTAAACAGGTTGTATGTTTATTGATGAATTGTGAGCTCTCTCTCTCTCTCAATATTGTATAAGTTAAGTAAGTCTGTTACTCTCTCAGTGGTTATTTCGATCATTCGTTGTCTTCATCGATTGTATTTAATTACTTAATTCTTTCC